TTCGTCCCATAATGTAAAGTCTCATTTGTCTTTGAACAAGCTTAATTTTCTCTTATGAATACTCTCGCTTTGTGGCAATAGGCTTTTTTTCTAGCGAACAAAGTTCTCACGAAAGAACCTCAAATTACTTTTGTGATAGGATAATAAAAGAAGCCTGATAGATTATTGATTAGGGATAAAAGTATGAAAAATGTTTAGGACGGTAATTAGAGAATAGCAAGGCTCAAAAAATTTACTAATATAGCAAACTAATTATAGTACTGGCTAAATGACTTATTTCACTACCATCCACAAGCTATAGTACTAAACTAGTGGTACAGAATTTCTATTTCTAATCAGTTTCGTCTTGGTTAATCGTAATTATCTAATCTGTTTCGTCTGAGTTTTCGTTTTTTCCCCCACTTCTCTTACCGGCTCCTACCAATTTTACTGCAATTTATTGATTTTTCGTTCCCCTAGTTGCAGAAAAAACTCGTGGTGCTACAACATATTTTTTCACTTAATTTGTAACTATAGTAACTTTCGTAAATGTAGATGGTTCTACGAAATGGAAACCCGGACCGCTTTTTAAGCGTCCTTAGCTCTATCCACTAATTTAAAAATTAAAAGAAAGGTTCACATCCTGTTTTGAGAACAAAAATTTAAATTTGCCTTTCAAGCATTACTTAAAGTACTTTAAAACACAGAAAGCAATACCATGACTAATCACGAAGTTTTAACTACAAACTATTCAAAAATGAACGCAAAATATAGCTTATCATTCACTTAGAGCATTCACATACATTTCTCAACTACTTCGGTTTCTCTTCAAGCAATTTAAAGGGGGTGACATATTACAGAAAGCAGTAATGAGAATGTTTCGCAATAGAAACAGCGTACGGACGTTTTCAGAAATAAAATTCAGAAATAAAATTCATAAATGAACGTGGAAGTTAATAATTCAATAAATTAAAAACATCGTCATGGTAAAGAGTAAACAAAATACGTGTTCGGGGTAAATAGTAATAGAATATAAATATTTAAAATACAAACAAACTTAAAAAATCAAGTTTTCCCTTGTCATTTGGTGAAAAGGAGATTTTCTAGAAGAATTCGTTATCTTATTATATACCGTATTACTTTAATAATATATGTTTAAAACCTTCAAGGAGATAGGGTCGTCTCGGTTGTGGCGTTCGACCTTATCACGTAAAGTACTATTTTTACTTTCCCGTATACATACGTAATATACATTCAATTGAGAGAGGCGCACAAAGTTGGAACTCACAAGGGAGTAGAAGCCAAGGTCGGCCGAGAACAACATGGAGGACAGTGGAAGGAGAGATCCGGGAAACTGGTATGACCTGGAAACAAATCATCCCTATAGACAGGTATGGATCCAAAGAGAATATGAGGGAAATTGCACTCCTAAACATTTTTCAGTAACTATTAATTTTAACATGTCACAAATCTTTCAAGCAAAAATATTTTCGGATTATCGTTAAAGCGAATAAAATCGTATCGCCGCAGCATGAGCTGAGTGTAGCTTGTGACGTTTTACAAAATCTGTCATATACAAATTAGACAAAAAAAATTGAATTTTGTAACGACGGCATTTTGAAATTCCCCTCCCAAAATTCGTCTCTGGATCCTTCCCAGCTATAGCAAAAAAACGTGAAAGATAGAGATACTTTGCCGAGGCCCTATGCTCCGAAAGAAACTAAAAGAAGTATACATGCGTATATACTGAGTAATATACGAAGTATAGGGAAAGTTCCGTAATGCTGCGGAAAATCGATTTCGTGATTTCAATGGAAATCCAGGTTTTGGGGTTCCCGGATACAGAAAAAGTGTATTTTTAAACGCCCGTCCATCTGTCTATGAACACCACTAGCGCCTAAACTATTCGTAGGATTTTTTCCAAAATGTATATTCCCTGTTCGATCTGGCACGGCTCGAGGTGCAGCGATTTTGAAAAACTTTCATCAAAATATGGCGGTACTCTACATGAAGCCTCAACACATTTTTTTTTTCAAAAACAGCACCAATTTTTTTAATTTCTTGTAAGAATAGAGTAAAATACATTCATAAATGTGGTATAGGTCCGATATTCAGGATTAACTCTGATTATAAATTTTTGAAAAATTTTGTCTTTCTACATCTGCAAAATTGCAGATACAATTTTTTCCCCCAAATAAAAGTTGTTTTCCGTAGTGAGTTATTTCATTAAGATCATGAACATATTTTCAAAATTTTAGTAGTTTTCGCACAATATTGAATGCAATTTGTGCAATTTTAGAAATTCACAAAAACAAGATTTTCTCAAAATGGCAACAAATTTTGTTCTTTAGACTTTTGGTAGGGCTAGTGCTTAATGTACTCTATAGGATGACATGAACGTCATGTTGCTTTATTCTTTTGTTTTTTCAAAAATTAAAAAAAGTAACTTTTTGACTTGTTTCTTATGTCGGTAACATAAACTCTAGCGGCGATTTGTTCACATTATATTTATGAGAACATGTGCTTTCAATAATGTCTTATGAAATTTCTCGAAAAGTCAATACGATACTGATATTAAATTCTAAATCATAAAGATATTCAAGGATCGTGTTGTGAATATGAATAACAAGAAACAAAATATCCAGGTATATTTTTAATAGAAAAAAGTGTTAAAAGAAAAGGAAATAAAGTGTATGAAAATGGTTAGGATTTGATCAAACGGATAATTCATGGCTAGAAAAATTAAATATTGTATAACTTGAAGGTATATCAACTCAATATTTTAATGCAACGAAAGTATGTCAAAGTGGAGGAACAGAATTTAGAAAATGGAAGGAAAATAAAGAATCTAAAGAATTATTATGAAAAAAATTTAGCCGCCTGATTTCGGGCGGCAAAAACATTATGTATGAAGTAAGAATATGTAACAATAGTTTAATTCAAAACTTGATATCGGTCAACATATTTATAAATAATTAATATTAAATATATAACGGATATCGGTTGAATTTTATGATAAAAGTAATTTAAATGAACATATGTTCATTATTTGAGTGAATAAAGTGCACTCCCAACGCTGTCGCTGTCGCCGTCGCCGTTTTCTTTCCCAGAAGCGCTTCACCTAATCCATCCATGACAAACCTTTCAGTTTCCAGCTCAGGACCTCCATTAATCCGTCGTATTTTAGTTGTAAAAGTATCCAAACATTTTAATGATACTTCACTTCCATTAGCGTACAAAGTCTTCGAGTAGTACGAATTACACACAATTCGATTTCTTTTAAGCTGTTCCCAACATTTTTTGTTAATTATGTTGCACTTTGCACCAGATTCGAGCGATCATATTACATTTTACTCCACCGAGGATAGCATCAATTTTCTCGTTTTCGTCAGTTATCCCCAAGACCTGATTTTTTTCTCACAGACTGACTACACACTTGACTTGAATTTTGACTCTTCGTCACTATCCTCAGTTTCCTCTTCGATTTGTCGCACGTCTCTGCTTCCTTTTCCCTTTAGTCTCGTTTCTTACCTTCGTCTTACAAACAACTTTAAAGTGTCCTTTTTCCACACTCTTGACAAATATTTAATCTAGCTGAGCAATTCTTGTCTCTAGCAAAATATCCTGTACGGTTACAGCGATAGCATTTATTATTCCTGTCTTCATGCACACTCTTGTTGTCATTATTACCTTGTTGCTTTTTATTCTTGGAATTAACACGATTAATTTGTTACGTTTTAACCTTGTTTAATGTCATAACTTGTGCTTCTTTGTTTGACATTTCCTTTCGTGAAATCTCCTTTGCCCGTCAATGCTGTCCCTTTTTTCAACAAATGACGTCGTAACTCGCCTGAAGAGCACTTCTCAACTATTTGATCACGAACCATTTCGTCTTTTATGTCACCGAAATCACAATTTTCTGCTTGTTGTAACGTATTGCAACTCAGACTGGCTGTTCGCCTCGGATTACCGGGCTGTACTACTCGTACATCGATATTACTCGCGCATCTTTTCTTGAACGATGACCCTGCTTCCCCTCTCTGGCACCATAAACAGATGAATGCAAAAGCTCGCAGCGAGCACTGATGACAACATACCATCTTCACTGGCGCGAAATAGAAACAATTTTCTTTTGAAGACGAGAACTTCTATCAGTTATTGTCTCCAAAAATCTAAAGAAATGACCGAAGCAGGTACGGATCTATCACAGGAGATAACTCGAACTCTTGATAAAGTTAGAACGCAAATTATTGAGAACTTTAGGAAGGTGTGGCTGATTCTTCAGAGATTGGCATTGCTTCATAAAGTCTAGTGACCGATTTCGTAACTAATACCCCCATTCTACCCGCATTTCTTCAATCCATCGTTGAAGAAATGTTGCGCGAGTAATACAAGGTTCTCGTTACATCTCCCTTGTCAAAATAAAAATTATTATTGATAGTTGATTATTTTGAACGTTGGAATTATGAATCAAATACAACAGACTTTATTTCTTGACGAACTTTGGTAACATTTAAACTATAAATATTAGACAAACATTAACAAATATATTGTCTAAAAAGGGATTTGTGCACGCCATAGTAAACACCACTATCGATCTTCTGCGCATGCGCAGATGTACTAGTAGGGAGTTTGTGCCACTTCGTACGTTAAAGCACTATCTGCGCAAACGCAGTTCAAGTTTCGCACTACTTTAGTGCATCTGCGCATACGCAGAAGATCGATAGTGCCCTATTAGGCAGTTTGTGCACGCCGTAGCGTTAGCTTTATCAATCTTCTGCGCATGCGCTAATACACTAAAATGGTGTGAACTGCGCATGAACAGAAGATGGATAGTGTTTTAAGTTCGAGGTGGCACACACTCATTAGAGATGTGAAACTTGAACTTCGCATGCGCAGATCGACAGTGATTTAGCGTTCGAGGGTGCACAAACTCCCTAATGAAAAAGTCGATTGCTTCCCGCTAAGGTGTGCACAAACTCCCTAATACTCGCGTAGTACACAGCGATATGAAAGAATTCAAAGAATAAATATTCTTCCATGGTGTAAGTGTATTCCGCATCTGCTATGTTATTCGTTGAAATTATCATGCTCTGTCCCGTCCAGCACTGGTGCACCTGTTTGAAGTGACACCTGAGTGCGCATGAGTGACATGCAGGTGACCGCAGGTGACGCCGGGTGACGCGAGCAAGACTTGAGTTCGAACTGTTCTGTTAGTATTAATTTTTTAAAGTTCTGCCGCGGAAGAACTTCGATTTTACTGTTCTACATTAACCTCTTTTTAAGGATGACAATTGACGAAAGAAATAGTTGTATAGGATATGTTAAGTAGTATTCCTTTTAAAAATTTAATCTGCAACATAATATTGGTATATCACTACTAGTTGAATAGTACTTTTCATAGTAAATTAAAAATGCAAAATACTTTGGAATCTCGGCTTAATGCCTTGCACCGGATATCACAAGAAAAACTTGTGCAGATCCTGGATAAAATTTCTGGAAAAAAAGATTTAATAATAGATCCTGTTCTAATGAAATCACTGGATAGAATAACTGGAGCAAAAGTTTTGAGGTGAATATAAATGATTCCTTGAATCTATTTTGTTGTGTTGAATAGAATTTTGCTTGACCCTTTTTTCTTTCTTTTTTTTTCTTCTTCTTTTTGTTTGTTTTCATTTCAGGTCTCATAATGTGGATAAAATATATCGTCTTGAGAAAACAAGTGTACACTGCAAAAACTTGAACTGGGTATATCTTCTACATTCAAATCTTATCACAGCCAAATGTGTTTGTGATCAGATAAATAGTGAACTTTCAAGAAGTGATCAATATAAGTTTTATATTATTCTTGTTCCGTGTGAGTTAGTGTCAATTCAACATTTGATTGAGGAAGAAGGATTATATGACAAGATTATTGTATATTGCTTTCCATGGGAACTTATCCGTTTAGATAGCAGAGTTCTTTCATATGAGCTTCCTGATATTTTTCAAAAGTTATATGTAGATGGTGACCAGTCTTTTCTACCTCCAATAGCACGTTCTTTATGGTCACTCCAACTCCTTTTTGGAAAATTTCCATTAGTTCTTACAGCTGGAAGATTTTCTTCACAAATTTATTCAATGATGGATATTCTCATGAATGAGTTGGGTAGCCCTGATGGTTTTGATTCAGATATTGGTTGTTTATTTCTTGTAGATCGAGATGTTGATTATGCATCGGTGTTATTAACACCTGTTACTTATCTAGGTCTGTTGGATGAGGTGTTTGAAATTCGAGGTGGTACTGTTGAATTAGATGCAAGGTTTCCTGGAAATAAAAGTACTGTTAATTTCCAGTTAAGTGGTGATGATGGCATTTACAATGAGATTAAACACAGATACTTTTCAAATGTTTATTCATTTCTTAGCAGAAAAGTAGGTGAGCTTCAAGCAGAATCTGATCGAAGACAAAAGATGACCACCCAAGATATGAAGCAATATGTAGAAACAGAACTCAAGAAAGTTATTAATATGAAACAAGCCTTGTCGTATCATATAGGAGCATGTGAAGCTATAATAGGAGAATTAGGCCATAAATTTGAAGCTCTGCACCGAACAGAACAAAATATTTTAGAAGGTAAAAATAAGTCTGAGACTATTAGTTATCTGGAAGACTGTTTAGCTACCCAGGCTTGTGATAAATTTTCTTTAATAAGATTACTTTGTCTAATGTCACTTACTCAAGATGGGCTGACAAAAGATGAAATGAATACTTTCAAATCTCAATTTTTACATTGTTATGGCTATGAACACTTAACATGTTTTTACAATTTAGAAAAGTTAGGAATTTTTATACCACAAAGTTCTAGCCTAAGTGAATCAGCTGGCAATTTGGCTGGTCGGGTTGCCCAAGCAGTATCTCTGCCAAAACGATTCAGTGCTTTTAGAAGCATGGCATATAAACTCAAACTTTTCCCTGATTACTCTGACGATCACGATGATTCTAAAATGCCTAAAGATATGAGTTATGTATTTAGTAGTGCTTATACTCCAGCTGTGTGTCAGTTGATTCAAATGATTATCAATAAGGGTAAACAACCCTTAGAAGAAATCTTGAAATTACTTCCAGCTGCCACACTTGCACGTAGAGATTCTTCAAGTACTCCAAGGACGTTTTTAGTGTATTTTGTTGGTGGAGTTACGTATGCTGAAATAGCAGCATTTGAACTTCTGGAGAAATTAACTGGTGCTAGAATTGTTGTGGGAGCTACAAACATAATTAATGGTAAATCGCTTATAAAAAGTTCTTTGTAGAATTAAGGTGAAATCCAACATTCATAATACGATCCATTTGTATTTTATTTGATTCTGAAGTTTTACACACATTTATTTTGGGAAAGGGACTGTATGTATGTATTGTTTTGATTGTGCATTCTGAAAGAATGATGTTACCAACGAGAATTATCAGAGAAAGTTTTATAACAAATTTATAAAAAGGTGTTTTATAATCATTATAAAAATTTTATATTTAACAGGCAGCAGCCTAATTTGTACAAAAGATTTATTGTATATTACAAGTTATTATCAGATGTGTATTCTTGTCTTTAGCAGCCATTGAAGAAATCACAAGGCATTTACATGTACATATAATCAGTTATTTGTCATTCTATTGTATTTAATAATTATCATTACTCCTAAAAATTATCAGTGAAATTGAATTGCAGTCATACATACACACATGTATACAACCTGTAACAGAGTCCCTCTGAAAAATCAACCAATAAAGAGTGGATCTTTTGATGAATTGTACAAGAGGCAATATATAAATCATTAATATGTATATATTTACATTAATACTGACCTCAGATGTATCTAGCTTTTTGTGCTCTCCCAGAGTGATACTTCGTTCATTGTAGAAATCTTTCCTGAATGGCTACATGCTGAAGAGTTGTGATAAGCGAATATTATGATATCGAAAGCCTTAGTAAAATTGATATAAATTATTTATATAATTAGGGTAGCAACACGCTGATATACACATCTAATCTTAAAATTTTAGGCATGGATAATGTGCATTTATAATAATTTGTGTTTGAATTATCCATGGTATATTCATTTAACGTCAAAAATCAGTTAAAATCGGAGTGTGATTTGCAGTGAGAAAAGTGTGTAATTGGCATGAGTTTTTGAGTTCTGGCTTAAAATAATCCAAGTTTGCTATAAGAAATCACTCTGATTTTAAACTCCTATGTTTCATATAAAATGGCGCTTTGATATTCAAGAGCTGTAGTTCTCTAAGCAGGATGTCGAAGAAGGTTAAGTTCGTATCTGAAGTCTGTCTTCAGTTAGTGAATTATTTTCCAGTTTACCAGTAATGTATTGTACAATTTACTGATTTTAATCGGTGCAATTCTGACTTCTAAAGCCACTGCATTACTAACATGTTATTGATCTCGTACAATAATTTTGTAGTTGATTTCAATATGTTTGACATTATGTCCATTAAAGATACGGGTCTGTATTTGTTAACATTTGCTCGATTTTCACTTTTCACCTCGGTTGTGATGAAGCTCTTTCCAGGAAGAACTTTCTTGAAGTGATTTTGTAATGGCAGTTAAATTTTTTTTTATTAATGATGAGGAAATATCATTTGGACCTTTTTTGATATGAAAATCGTAATGAGGTAAAAATCTTTTGTTTGACTAATTACAACTTTTCCAAAAAAAATGAAGAATCAATGGTATAATTTGTAAAAACCTTACATTACCATTATCAGTACAGTATTCTGCTTCAAAATACTTCACGTATCATCTTACTACCTCTTGTCCAAAATATGCTATTTTATCCTCTTAGAAAATGGTACTTTGCAAGCTATCTCATTTAGAAATTCCAGTATTCTTTTATACCTGATGAGTCTACCCTTTAATACTTCATTTACTTTATATTTAAATGTTGGTCGATATTAACAAAATAATAATAATCACTACTCTATAAACTGAAGATACTATTTGCGTTTAAATTTTTGGAATGTATGCTAAATAATCAGTATTTAATTTAAATAAACAGTTAAGATTCTACATTACTTTTAAATTCATTTAGATGTTTTAAACTGACAAGCTAAAAAGCTAATTAACTACTATCCATTTAAAGTTTGCTAATTTGAAAATTAATTTCTTGAGTTTTTGCATGTACAGAGTTGACTAATTATGATCTCTAGGAACTGTGCCATATTTGGGTTGTCTGACATAGGTCAATATCATGTATAATATCAAATATTTTTATAAAGGAATAATACAAAAAGTTACACCTTGTATTTTATTATACTTACAATTCACAAATTATTCTGAATTTATTGAAAATCACTAGACGTAATAAATTTGCAAAATTGATTAGTTTTATATATACTATCAAAAGTTTCAGCAAATCGAATGTATGCTTGTAGTTGCTTTTGAGGAAAGTAATTGATAGCTATAATGAAAGTTATAAATGTAATGTTTGTTTTGTGTAATTATATAATGCCATCATGTTCTTGATCAATTTACTGGACCTAGTCACAAATTCCTTGTTACAGCATATGTGACTAAAGTTGTCATAACTAGGTAAAGTCAATCCCTCTATGTAGCCATTTCAGGGAAGGTGAAAATATTAACCTAATATTGAGAATAGGTAACATTGACCTTAAACCTGATTTTAGCATTGAAGAAATACTTTTGAAATGATTCTGGAATAAATTTACTTAAACTAAGATTTTGTTGTAAAAGTGAAACTTGATTGAACATGTTAATGTCAACTTATTTCACTAATATCTATTACTCACCTGCTTCCAACATTTGAAGTTTTAAGTGGTCTTTCAATATGAAGTAGAATTTAAAAAAATTGCCTTTTCATGGACACAAGTTAATTTTCTATCCTTTAATCTGGGCCTACATCATATTAAACAAAATTTGTTCAACAAAAAAGTTAAATAAAGGGGATTATTGGAACATGAATAAAGTGACAAAATTAAATTTAGAAAACTTTTATGAGAAATATTACAAAGCTGAGCAAATTATAACAATCAAACAGAACAAAAACACATCAGATCTATAAATAGTTATTAAACAAGTATTGAACAATTATCACATCTTTCTTATAAACATATGCCATAACCTTTGAGGCTATAAATGTAATACTGTAAATTTTATGCACAACAGTACTGGTAACTGATGACTAAGTCTTAATTGTATCACACAAGTATACAATATATACATAAAAATTGGCAGGTACATATGGACCACAAAATTCTTAATCTTTCAGAGATATCATGTACCTTCACTCAATTGATTCCTTCCCTAAAAATTGGTTAAGAGAAAGCTGCTTACGGAATTGAGCAAATATTAAATTATGTGCAAACTGTCCATTTAAAATTTCTGCTTCTGATGCACACCGATTGCAACTAACGATTATGTATGCTATAGACACATTGAATGTCTATAAAAATACAAGGAATTCCGATGTCTTTTCCTTAAATGTTAATTAATATATACATCAATATTTACTTTTACATGACTAGCATTTGACAGTTGCTTTCCAAACTGTTTTAACAGTATGAAAAAATATTTTTAGTTTTCTTAAAGAAAATCTAAATTCATGTTTACAGCACTAGCAATTTCACCACTCATCAATCAATGCACATTACATTCTGACACTCCACAAAATGAGTGGGCGGCACAGGACAATCTTCAAAGCTTACACACAATGGATTTTTGCTTTCTGTACTGGTCAAAACTGGATCTTTGGTAACAGGCTTCTATCAGATATTGTAATCTGACTAGTCGAATCTCTGAAATAGAACAGAAAATGTTAATAACTAAATATCAAGTGATACACTTTAAAACTGTAAGAAATAAAAAATAAAATTGGAGGACAAAGAAGAAAGTCTTAGTAATCTGTTGTTTTATTTAGCAAGTTTCAAATTCTATTAAAACTTGGTAAGGTTGAGGCTGCTGGATCAACTGTTTTGTTGTTTATTTTTTTCCTCTTTCTTTACAAACTGACATAACCTTGTCTAAATCACTAGCAGTATTCTGCATCTTTATTCTCTGATTCTCGGACAACAGGCAGTGTGCATTAATTTTCGACGTTTCCAGTGGGAATGAGGCAGTCAAGCATGATTACTGGGAACAATAACAATGACCCCCATGAGCTACTTCTGAACTGGGAAGAAAGTATTTTCAGAGGTCTTGCCACAAAGAAAATACTTCTACCAAGGGACCCACAGTGTGGAGGGTGTACAAGACTAGTACATCTCCTCCTCCCAGCAAGATTGCAAGTACAGTAACAACGTTGGATCATGCCCCCGCTCAGTTGTGTGGCCGACTCTTACAAGACTTCAGAAACTAGGACACGTTAGCTATGTTATGAACAGTGGCTTTTATTATTGAAGTAAGAGTGGACCTGTTCAAGTATAAGATTAAAGTAGTTTGAACATGTTATATTAATGCTTCGCATTTTTTTTAACAGAACACTTAGTGATAATGGCAACACCTGAGTTATGGAAAAAAAGTACTGACAATTTCTAGTTTGCTGGACATTCATGTTTAAAGAAAACGTCATAGATATGAAGTTTCAAGATCTGAATAAATTTCAAATAAATTTTAAATTACAAAAGGATAAAAGTGAAATATCATTTTGACGCTCAAGGTACAATAATAACAAATGGTTGAGAGAATATATTACGAAGGAAACATTATTTTGCTGGCCGTGTTTGTTACTAAGTACAACTAAAAGCGAGTAGGGCTCTGAGGGTTTTGATAACAAACAAAAATTATCTATGTAAATAAGCAAAACTTAAATTCACGATTGAAATGTAATAAATAATACAGCAATATTAACTTGCTACGTTACTCATACGTTCAGATTTAATTTTTTTGTCTTAACCATGCAATGTTCTCTGATCTCCCTGGAATAAACAGCCATGAGTCACTGCTTTATCACCTTTACATAAATGTACAATTTACAAAGAGTGAATTTTGGTCCACACAAAAGATTAACATCAATCAGGATTTTTCCAATTTCTTTTGTTAAATAATGAAGAACTTTTTTAAGACGGGTTTGGTGAACCTTAAAATTCAATTTCTCAATGCACATTTAATTTTTTTAAATAAAATTCTTGGTGCAAGGAGAACATTTTCACCAAGGTTTGCATGAAAGTGGAAAATAAATAATGGATTGGTGGATAGGAATAAATATGATGGGACACTTAGTTGAATTCTATACCGGGATCTAGCCTACACAGAGATAAATGCACTACAAGGAACTCTGGATGAAAGTTATTTTTTAATAAAGGTTATGTAAAATATTTTGTAATAATTCTATATATTTACCAAAAATACTTGTTTTATTTACTTATTTTTACACGGCTTGTAACCCTTACAAATAAATAAACTTTTTATTTTATGATTTTCCATGTTAGTAGGGATTGTCTTATAGCACTAACTAGCACACTTTCTCTCATTTAAAGAGATTTACAGGTAACATAACTGATGTAGCCTGAATCAGCGCTAATATACATAATTATTTGTGACAACAATTTCAAACCAAAAAAATCATTTCATCAGTTATCAAGGGAAAATATTCTGAAGGTCATTTAAGTCCATGGCCTTCCTTGCTGAAGAGTCCTTTTGAAAGCATGAGGGCTAAGGACCGTTACCACATTCTTGGTAGAATATTCCAGGTATAGTAAACACTATTGCTCAGAAAGTTTTTGCATTGCATTTGATTGTGCCTAGATTTCGCAAGTTTCATACTATATCTTCATAGGTGCAAATTTTCAGTGACAAAAAATGTAGTCAAGGTCAGAGTTGTAATACCTCAGATCTTAAGGTTCTGATCATGTTATATTCCAGCAGCAAGTGTCAGAATCCTGCCAAATACATGTGATTCTCCTTTGTGCATTTTCCAACGGGTTATCTTTCATAAATTAACATAGCAGTACACATACCTGGACTCTCAGATTTTTCTGCTTGCTGTTTCCTTAATTCAATTTCCCCTTATAATTTCGACCAAGGGAATGTATCAGAAAAAGATGGACATTATTTTCAATAATGAGATATATTTTTAAATAATTTATTTGAGTATTTAGTGGTTTGTATTCTAATGAAGAAAACTGAAAAAAAATTTGTAGGAAATATACTTTTCATTTCATTTGATAAATTTTACACATTTAATAGCTTTCTTTCTTTGCATGCTTTAGAAAAAGTTAGTTAATGCTCCAAAGAAATAAACTTTTTGCCTATTGGCACAAATATTTTTTTAAGCTGCGTAACATACTGAAAGAAGATGAGTACACTCGGGTGGTTTCTGAGACCAATGCAAAGTTTTGGACTGTCTAGAAAGGATAAAAATACTTTCTCAGAAGAGGTGTGACTTATATCTGTTGAAGGGAAAGGTACCTGGAGGCAGTGTGGTTAGGGGCAGCCAAACCATATTCACAATATTAGAGTAAAGACTTTCCGAGACTCTCAGACCACCTGAGTGTACTGTCGGGTTAAGGATTCCAAATTAGTAGCTCTTGTATAGAAGGGTACATACGCTACTTCTTAATGTGTTGAAGGCTTTACAAATTGTGGAAATAGCCCTATAAACTTTTTTTTATGGTGTGACTGAAGACGTACCCACTTGAGATTAGAGATCATGATCCTTCTTCATCTTAGTTTCAGCTACATTCATTTTACCTATTTGGTAATCGTGATCGTGTTGGATCTTCCAATATGCATGACCATGCATTTCAGGTTATTCAAATGTACCATCACAATGCTCCACCACTCCTAAACTCTATCCATATCCTTTTGAAGGTACAGAAAGTTCACTGAAGAGTTAGAATAGAATTTCATCTGCATACATCTTGAAGTGAGATACCTTTTGGCAGGTCGTTAGTGTACAAGAAGATCAATGAAATCAGACCCAATACTGAGACCAGAGGAACTTAGCTGCAAATGCTCATTTGTGAGGACTTGTATTCTCCATTTCTCACATAAAGTGTAATATTTGAGGAATGACTGTAGAATCAATGCAGAATTTCCCCACTTATACCAAACGTTATACCTTAATCATACCGCATTATTTTGTTCATAAATTTTCCTCTGGATTCAAATTTCATTTGTTATTATGTGTAACTGTATTTCCATAATCATTTTATTTGTGTATCAATCATGTCCTTTTAGCAATCCACGGTTTATTTTGGTTTCCATCTTCTTTTTAGAAGTGAGTGAGAAACTCAAGCGTTAATTATTTCCAATGTAAATATCAGCCAGTTGCTTTCAAGTTTCTTGGCGCATGGATATTCTGAAGTGAGAACAATTTATCAAAGGCCTCTCTTCACATTCTTAAAGTTCAACCACCAGTTTAACTTGCAAGTCTCGTGATTTTTAGAAGTCTTCAGATTTTAAGTTTATTGGCATAACAAAAGGCAAAATGACATCATCAGTTACTTTTATATGACTCCGACTGGGGTTGACAAAGATTATTCATCATTGGTCAGAATTCGATCAAGTGTCGCTGAACTAACCTGGTTTCATCATTTATCAACCGAGAGAAACAAAAATCTTCCTACATCTGGGGAAACACCTTTGTTACGAGTGGGATGTGATCTGAGCTGGGTTGGGGTCAATGAAGTGGTGGTAGAGTAAAATCTGTCCAAACCGCAATTATTGAGACAAAAAAAATTCAGGTTTAGTGAGGTATCAGTTTTATGCAATGTTGTCCATTTTATGACACTTGTGATATTGACATTTCTGCCCTGAAGGTAGTAAATTACATGACTATTATAATTGTTATTGTTATTATTATCGTTATTATTATTATTATTATCACTATTATAAAAATATATTAACGTAATGTATTTATGGAAGAAAACATAAATATATGAATATGAAACACAATTCATTGTCAGTTTCTGAGTAGAAAAATCCACACCTTACTGCGTGTATTCGGACAGTTTGCTGACTCTTTCAATGCACAATGTATCAAAACATATTTCTATTACTTTTTGATACCCTCACATGGTCTTAAGAAAAGTGTACGGTCAAATTCTACCCTAACAGTTGAAGCCCCTCTCCTTCAATGTCTGGTGTCACAACTATCGTGTGTTCCAGAGATGGAGAATTTAAAACAAGCTTGCAGTTGCATTCATTTCATTAACATTTCACATTTCACAGCCAATGGTAATAAACTCATAGGAATTCTGTTTTATAGATATTTTTCCCCTTGCACGACATGAAAAACCACTCTGTTTTCGTGTTAGAGAGGTTTCATTTTTTGGTGTGTAAAATACCATTTAACTTCACATGCCGGACAAATTTTCTAATTAAGACAGGTTTCCGGCTTACACTGGTTCTGGTTTAGACAGATTTTACTGTAAAATGAAATCTCCAAGGATAACAATATGATCATCTAAATCATTCGCCTTACAATGAATGTCAAAAGAGCTGCTTAGATATTTGTAATTCTATATCATGGCAAAGGATTGCAGCATAACGTATAGGTAGATATTCAAATGACAGAGCCTGATTTTCAGCTATCAAGGCTTTAAAGAATCACTTTGTATACCCGTACAAGGGATAGTTATAAGTTAATTTCTATTTAATTCGTTTGGTACATATAACAGAATTCCTCTGCCGCCTCTATCTCTACAAAATATATACCCCTCTACTTGGATGATGTGGTCAAAAATATCAGGTTTCAACCATCATTTTGTCAGTGGTATATTAAATGGATTGTATTCTTGATCTAGGAACAGATCAAATTTTGGTAAAAATACTGGATATATTGCTGTAAATTGAAAGATAGCATACTGGTGCCTGTGCTATTTTTTCCTTTGAGAAGCTTATTGATTATTTCTGGTGTCCCTCTCCTATATTTGAGGATTGCTTCCGAGTCATTCTGCTTTCTTGCCTGCTTTGCTAGCAATTCCTTGATTTCACTTGCAAGGGAGTTTGATCTTCATTAAACAAAATATTCTGAGGCAGGTCATTCCTTTGCAACAGAACAAGTCCCATTGATTTCAAAGTGTTCTTCAGTGGTTAGGATTTATCATATTTTCCCAAATGTGTAGTTTGCAAAATGCTGGACACCTTATTCACAGGTAGTTCTCTTCCACAATTTAGACTTGAAAGTATCTATCAAAATTTCCCATCTTCTTTCTTCCTCTTTGCAGAGACTTCCAATTTCATGGAGAATTTTTTATGTTTTTCGATCTAGGATTTCTTTCCTCCAGCTCGTCTGCAACTGTTCACATCAACTCAGCAAAATGTGTTGTTTTAACTGTTTTTCTAAAATTTGCAATTTTGGAATTTATTGTAGCTTCCATTTCCACCTCAAAATAATTTTGTTTCAAATTAATTGCATCACATCTTGCTGACAGTTTGAGATTATCCTCCTGAATAGACTTCATTTTGCTTGAGATATGCTTCAGACCATTTTGACATTTAAAAAAATATTGGATGTAAGATCTTCCTCTTTCTTAATAATTCCAGCCCATGTCATTTTTATTTTACCCTTTCATTCCCATTGATGAGTGAATTGATTCCCATTGATATAGTTGGTGTGAAAATAAGTGAAAGTTGTTTACAGATGCTTCAAAATGTCTAAACTTGTGAATAATTGTGTCACAGCAATGCTATTAACTTTCCAATTAACGCTCAAGGAAAACCTATTTTAGAGCAATTATAACAACATACAAACCAGCCTAGGGCAAGTCCTGCTTGATGATGACAGTATAGCCCTGAATGAATTCTGGCTGATTCACGTTTTAGTGTTAGAACCGATTCACGTTTTTTCTGTCAAAAAGACAAGTTTCTCTGAAACAAAGTCAATGAACCTAACATTTTCCAAGGCAAAAAAACAACAAAAATATTGCTTAAATCTGACATCAGATATCCCGTTGAATACCCGCAAGCTCTTCATACAAGCACTCAAGCCATTATCTTGAATCCTATTTTATTTGCTAAAGAGTTTGCCACGGGATTTCTGAAATTCAACACAACGAACATTTGAACCTCATGGCACACTACCAGCTCTACATGTCGAGTCAGCTACTGATCTCCTTAAGATGTGGATTTCCAAAACAATGACATACAAGAAATATTTTCCCAGCTAGATTCTAACTCTTCACCAGGACCGGATGCTATTCCATCTATACTGTCGAAAACCTGTGCCACAGAACTGGCAGTCCCTCTTACATCTATCTTTTGTAAATGGCTGGTCACGGAAAGATAACAAGTTGGATCCTAGCAATTAAAGACTGGTAAGTCTGGCAAGCCCTGTTTGTAAGATGATGGAGCGGCTTATTGTAAATACACTGATATTTTGCCCGGCGCATGGATTTGTCCAAACCACCAATCTCCTCTCTAGTACACAAACTTTAATCAGATAAAAAACAACCTGATGTCATCTACCTGGACTTTACAAAAGCATTAAGAGCATAAGATTCCCCACCCGTGTCTATTTTACATACTTTTCCATTTTGGCATCTGTGGCAAACTCCTCACACGGCTGAAATCCTTTTCAACTGAAAAGACATTCTGAGACAAGATTGGATCATTTGTATCATCCCTTTGTCCCATTACCAGCAGAGTCCTTAGAATCAATTCTGTTTATTCTTTACACTAGTGACATCACAGGCAACACAAAAAACACTTTCTACATGAATACTGATGATACCAAAATCTATGCCAATCCACTTGGAAACTCCTATCACAACTTATGAAGAATGACTACGAGAACTAGACATACCATCTTTATCTTTTAGGAGAGTCCTGCTGACATCAACGAAACCTACAAAATACTTCACAATGCTCCGGAATTGTCACACTTCTCTATATATGCCACTATCTGGAACCTGAGAGGAACCTCAAGTTCATATATTTGAGATAGGGACATTAAGTGAAGACAGACTAGGAACCACTAAGAGGAGTATGTGCCACCAGGAATTGAAGAACAGGTTACAATATAAATAAATTTAATATAAATAAATTTTTAACTCCTATCTATCATTCACCTGTAAGAACTTCTTTAACTTGTAAATATTTACATTAGCAATTAACAGTGATTTTCAGACATCAGCTAAATGGCATTTCTTTGCTATCAGTCAAGGCAAGTGTCACTGTGAAGGTGTAGGCAAAACAATCAAAGGACTTTATGACTGATTCATATTTGGGGGGATGGAAAATTAAATACTGCAGTATCTTTGAATTTAAAGATATCGAGGTCATGAGACATACTTTTTTGCATGCAATGACCCTACTGCCTTTTTGCTACAATAGCGACAATTTGAATTTGAATCATCCATGTGTCACCATCTAGCGGAGAGTGGAAAATTCTACTAGTGCCGCTGGTCACAGCTTGGTTACCAAATATATATATCAAGTTTTCATGCACAAATTGCAATTGGCAAACAGAAAAGAATCACTTACAATGACCCATGTTCAAATTGTCTTATTGAATACTCCATGAATCTGTGAACTCGTATTCTTGCACTTATGAGAGGACTGTCATTAAAATTTCTGATACTGACATGGTGCACCTATACTGTTAACAGCCCTTCAATATTTGTTTCTAACTTTTGGAATTTTCGAAAATTGGAGTTGAACGAAACCGAAACATGCGTAATTTTTTTAAAGATCCTTTTTCTCTATTTGTGGAAAAAAATGTGAAGCAAAAATTGGAACAGCTTTCAATCATTTTCTTTCTAAATTGCATTAACTTCAAGCAGAAATCACACAAAAACTACTTGTTTTTGCAAAAAATTGTACATGAACATATTTAAAGATATATTTTTAAAATACATTTTTTCTTAAATCAAATCTATCTTCAATATTGTACTTTTGCAAATTTGATTTTTAACAAAGATCGCCGAAAGTAGAAATTTTGTTTCCACTTTCAATGTGTACAATTTGTTGTTTTTTTCCTAAAAAAAAAACCTGTCCTTGGTACTGGCAAAAACGTACACAAAAATATGCAGCCATTATAAAAAAGATAAATGTTAAAAATTACCTATATTTCATGCACAGTTACAAGAAAACCACTTAGTTAATGTACAATTTTGGGAAAATATATCTTCAAGACTTATTTCTGTTCAAAATGAATTATTTATGTTTGCACTACCTTGTTTGTTTCTAGTTTTGAAATGCATTTTAATGAACTAAAATATTTGATGAAAATCATGAACTTGTTATGATATGTCAGAATCTCTTACCCAAGTCCTGCTGAATGGATCTGCACACAGACACAATAGGACGTATCATCATTGATTCACCCTTTTGCCTACAAAGAAAAGTTAAATTTTAAATAGTGACAATTCCAAATGTTAATAAAAAATTCATAAGCATTTTCTCTCACCATTTCTGAAGAGCACCCATCATGGTATAAGCCGTGAGAGCATTTATTATAAGATCCATTGACAAAACATATTTTGGTATGAAATGACCTATACTTATCTCATCTTCCAATTTCTTTTGAAGATGGAATCTTAGTTCTTGTTCAGAGTGATCAGGGACTTCAGAAGTCATCTGAGAACAACAGGGAGAAAGATTAACATCAGAGAAATACGTATGAGAGAGAGAGATATATAAGAAATGTGATAGATTTAAAAAAACAACAGAAAAGCAATGTAAGGGATTTCCCTCTTGTTGTATATCAGCAAATTAATTTATGATAAATTCATTTTGAAAACATGTCAGTAGCTTTGGAATGTTAACTTTTTGTAAATTTTCGAAAATACTGTGTTTGCATGAAAAAAGAGTAGCACAACTTCTCTTCCCAGTCCGTCAATACTTAGGAGTAAATTAAAAGTAAAAAATTGGTGCTGATTTTTGAGAAAATTGTTCAAAAAATTTCAAAAATTGTCTATGTTATCCCAATTATACAAAAACTACCCATACTTTCAAAAAATTGTACATGATCTTATTTCGAGATCACCTAAAACAACAGATTTTATTATGAAAAAAATCTATCTTCAATATTGCAGTTGTAGGAAAAACACTGAAAACAATTTTGTACTCTTGCAATTTTCAAAAAAATCAGGGATTTCAATGAACACCCTGCAACATTCTTTAAAGCATCTTCTTTTACACTTTCTGAGGACAGAAAAACCACAATAGCGACACATGGTGGACTCATCATATGCAAATATACTGGTGGTTTTCAGGAGATATAATCATATGAGAAGTAAACGTTGGATTTTGAATTCAAACTTACGTGATTGATTTTAATAATATTACAAAATATAGTTAAGTCACCTTATTTTACCACTAGTGTGCTATTTAATTCATGACACTTTTTTCAAATAAATTAAATATCATGGGATTTGACAAGGTTAAGAAATATAATTTACCTTCTTTTTGTTGCAGATGAATTACTGATATTGGCAATTTCCAATCCCACTGTCAATAAAGTATGTTCAAAGTAAAAAAAAATTTAAAAAACAATTATTTTCACATTAATTACTACAGTCTAGTGGCACAATTTTCTCCTAAAATTCAGTTTAACCCTTTGCGGTCTTTCATCAAACAGAGTTCGATATTTTAGAAAGACAGTTGCAGTCAAATGGCGAGTACTGCTTAACTTCATATTTCACTAATCTGGTCCTATGTCAAAGGCACTCGTGAAGTACTTGCTACCAACCGATTTAGTAACTGCTTTTTCTTTTATGCCAACAGATGGCTTTGTTCTTTCAGGCATTGTTTTAATAATGCACTTTTACAACACAGTGTGATGGGCTGTGAGTCAGTGTGGTGTCATGGCAATATAAGGTTTGCCTGACCACAAAATAATTGAGAGTTTAGATGATTGGAGTAGACCTCAGTGGGAGAGATGATTTTAGTGATGGAAACTTCCAGATATACTTCTACCAGTGGTGCTTCTATCAGTGACGCAGTGATGATTATTACTATGAAACCTGCTCTCAAAAGCAATAAGCATTTGTTTAAAAATTCATGAATTAAGAATTATATGTACCTAGTGTCACATATTGGTAATAATTTTATAAAAACACTCATTTAAAATAGAAAATATTTTCTCAATTTTGTGTTTGATTCCTTAAAAATTAAATTGGACAGGAAGAGGAAAACCTAGAAGAAAAAAATTCAGCATGCGGATAGCATGTAAGAAACCCTGAGTGTACATGGACATGCTGCTAGCGCTGTCATCTTGACAACCGACTGACAAGACACAAATACCAAATATTAATGGAGGATTACTCCCAAAAGTGCTTAATGCTAAGGGCTTAGAGACAAGTTGTATCAATTAATAATTTTGATTAAGATGCAAACACATTTAAAAAACAACAAACGCAAAGGGTTAAAGAATTTAAAATTCAGAGGTGCAATGATGAGCCTGTAAGAACATGCAACACCTAAAAAGTGTGGAAAACTCCAAATCAAGTTTCATCACAGTAAATGAATTAAAATGCATTTACTGTGATGAAATCTGATCTGGAATACTTTGTAACATCACTTACCACAATTATTAATTTTAGAATTAGAGCATATCCTGTAAGAAACGGATGGAGAAGTCCCAGCAACAAAGCTTCTTGATCTCCATTTCGGAGTGCTTCAATATTTGATAAGTCAATGGCCTCTTTGTCTGTTGTAGCAGTAAAGAAGAGATTGAGAGTGCACATACGATCAATGGCATTCACAAAGTCCTGAAAAATTACATAAAAATAAAATCCAAGGAATTTCACAAACATATTTGTGATACAGGTCAGCCTATACCACAAATGTATTGCTTGTAGCTGCAAACACAAAGTTATAACCCACAATCTTTGTTATCAACTTCATCTCCAGAAACCCAAATAATATTATTGTAGTTTGTACAGAGTAAGATTGGGAGGCAGAGAGACAGGTCATTCCATTTCAAAAGATGAGTACACGTTTACATGCACCCCTTGGTTTATTGTGCCAAATGCACATTAGGAATACCTCGTCGTAGGAATCTTCATCCTCAGTAGATACTCCTCCAGCTAGCCACAGATGCTTAATGACATTAACCAGCAGCATGTGTTCACTACATGGGAAAAACAAGCCAACATTCACTCAAATCACATCAGCACTCATATCTCAGACATATTCATCATCTTAGAATATTTTTAGCTCTCAGTGAGTGCAAACAATTCACCAAAATATTCATTATAACCTACTATACCCACAGCAATACTGTAGTTTGCCTCCTTTGGGCTGATAACATATCTATCTAACGTAAGAAACAACGACCATTTGGAGCAGGGTGAGGAATCATGATGTTCAACTGTAGCACAAGCAGGAGGCCAAAGGCTGCATAAGGACACTAGTCAACAATTCACACACTAGAGGCTAGAGAATGTTCTGTGTCTCAGAAAATAATGGAGGTTGGGAGGACAAAAGAGGATGGAGAGGTGAGAACAGAAAGCAACAGAGATGGAAGGGGGATGTCACCATCACATTCCACAGATTTTTTGCCATTCTGAAAGAAGGAATTCAGAGAAATTGAAAAATTCTAGAAAGCTCCACAAAGCTATGATAACCGTACATATCTGTCAATGTTCTATTCTCATACACATCATATGCCACCAAGTTTTACACAGTTCAAAAAAAAAAAAACTCCCTACTGCACTAAACATTACTGCTAACACTTCATTCTAACATACAATTGACTTAATTGCTTTCATGGGAGAGGCATGGGCATTTTATCAGACTTCATGTTCCTGTAATCTTACCCAAAGACAAATAAAATACTATACTCACATTCTTAATTAAGTTTGTATCTTCCATATACAGAACAAATTCCACTTGTAGCAAAGTTCGAAAAAATGAATAATCTTTGAATAAGGAATCTGGAAACAGAATATTTAGAATTAAAAATGTTGAATAAAACTAGAATATTATTTTAATATAATACATTTAATTTAAGAAATTCTAATGTTTCAATATAATAAAAAAATCAATTTTAATAATTCAATATAATTTCAATCATACCTTTTGTGTATTCTGACACTTTACTAGCAGTACACATAACGAAATTCAAGATGCAAATATGAATACACGCAAGACATACTGGATTGGCATAAATTTGCAAGAATACAATTGGATAAGCTTCAGTAAGAGTTTGTTCTGTTAGTCTGGAACCTGTACACAAAAAATTAATGTAATTGAAAGAGAAAAATAACATATACATAATTGGAATAAAGTATTAAAAGAACTTCAGAAACTATATGAATCTGTCAGAAGAACTAGGCAAATCACCACTTAGCAATTGAAGTGTGCGACTAAAACACATCACAACATAGGAATAAAAGAAAGAAGTATCTAGAAGTATCTAGTACCTCGTCTGTATGTCTTAGCATTAGTTCTACTCAGTTGCAGGGTCTGCATGGCCTCTTCCCCTGGCCAGTGGTGTGTGCAGGTTATGACAGGTTGGATTAGGATGAAATGTACTCCCCCATGAAGCCCCCATTCCACATAAGGATGATAATAGGATGGTGGCAATGATATTAGAAAGGAAATGAGAAGCAAAGAACTCTATTGTCAATTAGTTGTGTCACAAATTCACCAATGTTATTTGCATCTTTGGAACTCTCGGGCTCTAAGGCATTGCTTTTACACTCACTGCTACAGTTTTTTACCTAGTACCTAGAGTTTTACATAGTTTCCTCTCTCCCTCATAGCCCAAGTGATCCTTTCCTATACAAATAATTTGTCATAAGTGAAATGTTGTTATAACAAATATGTCACCTTTATACAACCATTTTGAAATCCTCAATTTACCTTTTGGTTATATCTATAAGATTCACTTTAATGAAATTTAAACATACAGTATCACGAATTAAAATTTCGCACTTTGTTAAAGTTTTAAACTTTATATTTACATGCAGAGTGAAAGTATTGTAATGAGGCAGCAGCAAAAAGTCAACAGAAAAACTTGTACAAATTGAATATGTTTCTTTAATATATAAAAACAAATGAGAAACACGAAAATACCAGAGTTAGATTCAAAGAATTAGAAATAGAAAATAAGCACAGGACTACTGTGACGAAGACATGTACATTCAAGTTCTGGCTCTCCTGCTGTACATTACAGGAAGGAGAAAAAAATCTAATGCTCATCGAAATAAAGAGTCTCGTCTACATTCACTACAGGCCCACCACACAAAACATGTTAAAGCCAATAAAGAACAGTTGGGGACTGTGAACGTTTTCATTATAGAGATATAACTGCTTGGAGACGATTCGCTGTATACAGACCAGAGATGCTTCCTGACTGGAGTAGCAAAAAAAAGGTCATAGCATCATGTGTCTGGAAATGGTTGCTGTGGGTGTGCAATGATAGGAAATCATCCTGGCACACAGTACATGACCTGAATTGCATCTATGTCACAACAGATGTTTAAAGTGTGTGCCATGGGATGCAATGCAAGCATTCCCACATCGTCTCATGAATTGCCATATTCTTCTAATGTTCCGGCCTGTACCCAAATAGTCACGGGCTACATAGGCATGCTGTTGAAGGGTTTACACATCAGAAACTGGCTCAGCATACACAATTGCTTTTCAGACGTCTCCAATATAAAAAAAAAATCACAGGGAGTTTATATCTGGTGATCAAGCAGGTCATGCAACAAGGTCTCTGCATCCTCTTGTACATGCGGAGGATGTTGAGGTGTTGACGCTGATGTGTTAGAGAACAATAATGAGGTAGCAAGTTGTGGCACCCCATCTACAGCAGCATTACCTGTTGTATTGTCAAAGGCATATTCTGAAGCAAAAGAGGCATCATTCTTATGCTAGTCCATTGAGGCCCTGTGGAAGAACTAGCCCAATAGGTGGTCACCAAGAATTCCTGCCCAAATATTGATGCTGAACTACTGCTGAGGAGATGCTCCAATCATTCCAAAACTTGCTGCAGCCCACAGACGACGTTTATGTAGAATCTCCAGAAAAGATCGCTTCATCAGTGAAGGAAACTGATGGCAGAAATCCCAAGGTGGACTGGTGCATAAGCCAGCAACAACATCTTTCCCATGGAAGAAAATCTGCTGGTGATAGGCTCCACTAGACATTGTTGTTTGTCATGAAGGTTGCACATAACCACCATGTAGCGAGCCACTTGCCTAAAACTAGTACCAAGGTTGGTCTTAATATTCTGTAGAATATGTTCTTTCAGATCTGTGGATGCTGCTGTACGCACAGACCATGTCCTCTCTGCATGTTTGTCTGAAAGGATCTATGCTTATACAAACACTGAAAAATGGCTTCAAATGTTGTGTGATGTGGTTGGCACTAACTCTCAGAGCACTTAGCTTGGTATGTCTGTGCTGCCTCTCAACCATTTTCCCCCTTCTTGAACTTATATGAACAACATCTCAGATTGTTCCTAGAATGAATACCCAACTATTCTGCTTTTACAGTACACTCCTTCAATCAGAAGTCTTCAGCATAACAAGGAATACACTACAACACACAAGAACAACGGTCTGCGAGATGATGTTTTTCACCAATGCCATTTACTGGGGTAACGATGCATTTCTGGATACATGTTAATACAAAAGATTTTAGTCCATTTCCAGTGAAGAGGTGCTTCTTGGGATTTGTCAATGTAGTTCAAATTCACTCTGCATACTTTGTTTTGAAAATTTTTACACACATTATATTGTTTTAATATTCAAAATTTTATTATTATTTATGCGGTGAGAGAGTGAGAGGGAGGGAGTAAGATTGTGAGAGTTGTGAAAAGCATGTATGGCTGTGAAGTTTTAATCATCTCTTAAATTTAAGGAGTCAATTACACTGACTCATATGCAAAGGAAATACATACAATGGGACAATTTTTATGAAGTGAAGAAAATGTAAAAAGTAAATCTATTAGCCGCTCAATAACAACCAAAAATATTTCTTCAAAATAGAGAATTAATAGCACAACCAAATCAGTAGAAACATAAATTAAACACCTGGATGTTATATCAGGCAATACGAGGTAAGGGGAAAGTTTTTTTTAAGCTTTTGTATGTCCTTGTTATATTTTTTTTGCCCGAAAAGCTTGGAAGACACTTTTTAATGAGAAAACAAAAGTGCAAGGTGATAAATCTGCAATTGGTGATTTGCACTGTTCAAACCTTGATAAACACTTAACATAAGAATTTGTTCACCTATTACTGCAGAAACTCACTTCGTATATGATCAGAAGTGCCACTTGTTGATGCCACACCATAATGTAGCTTTACAGTTCTTTCCCTTTCACAGAAATACATCACTCTGCTGTACATTTTCAGGGCCTCTATTATCTCTTTTTCAACTGGATCTAAAGTGAAATGTTAAAATATTGTATGAAGCAAGGTATAATAATCATAATCACAAGATCAGACGAACTTTTTGTCCCACCACTAACTACACTTTCTCAATGAAGCATGATGAATGGAATAGCAGTGTTAAACGCATTCTCTAGATGTCATAGAAAAGGAAATAAAAGAAACTGGATGCTGCTCTGAATCGATGCCAACATTTTTATTCCACATTCATGGGGAATGAAATTTACCATTTTAAATTAAAAACTTGCCTTTTGTCCATCCGCAAGGAGGAGGGACCTGCTTAGCAAGTTTTAGCTTAGATAGAACATTCTCTCAAACATTTTGACCTTTATATCACAAATTTTTATTTAAACATGCATTAGCATTATCTGAGCATTTCAAAACTTTTTAGACATGATACGTATTCAAGAAAAAGGCACAAGTAAGAAAAGAAACTAAGAAAGAAAGAATAAAATGTATACCTTTCACCTCCACAGAATATCCAAGCACAGCGAGAATATTTCTCAGATACTTCACATCAGTTTCAACTTTTTCAAGTGGAACATTGTCATCAAACCCAAGCCACAATGACACAGAAACTGCCATGATATGAACTGGTAAGAATGTCATAATTCGGTTTTGTTCTCTGATTACTGAATAACTCAGGTCTTTCACTCGCTGAGAAACCTGTGGTCCAGGATACCTCCGTTCTTTATAAAAGCTGGATGCTTGATTTAAATCAACTCTAAGATCTCTAGTTTGAATATCTGCTGAATTAAACTTTTTTACAGATATAGGCTCTCCAAACTCTACGAAAACTCTCCCATAATTCTCCCTCAACACTTGTAGAGCTCTCAGTAACAGCTGCAAATCAAAAATTGAAATTAAAAAAAATATGGAAAAATTATATCAGATAAAAATTTACTTCAGGTAATATCCCACCCTTGTAGACTCTTTTGGCTTTGGAGCACCCAAAAGTTCTCTAGAAAAAAGTGAATCTTCCAAACAACGCTCATAGGTAATGTTTATAGGTACAATGGTAACATCTGGAACTTTACCATAAAAATAAGGTTCTAGGGCCATAGACATGAGACCTGAAAAAAGAAACATAAAAGGGTTGGATTACCAAAAGCATAGATAGAATACTTAATGTTTCAATGAAAGAATCCAACATTTGAAATGGAATACTCAAATTATTTTATTGCATTAAATATTTATTCCTTTTATTATCCTATGTCAATAAAATGCCTATTCTACACAACTTAACATCACAAAATAAGTTAGTCTAAAACAGCACATGCAAGATTTACATGAAACTTTTCGCCAGAGCATAACAACAGAGCGATATAAGAAAAAAACCATGCAACACTGAATTTAAATATTAATTTAACAATTTCTTCATAATTGTGGGGAGAGTGTCTATGTTCTAAAGCAGCAGTTCCCAACTTTTTTCCTTTCCTGTACCCCTTGATTTGATAATAAACTAGTTATTAACTTTAATGAGAACTGGTAAATAATCACAAAACCCCAAACAGTAATAACTTACTGTACATTTTGTTAAGATTGTATAATTTATTTCAAAATAGAATAGTAGTCTTAAAAAGTGCTTTCTTATAAAAGTGAATTGGTAATTATGTGGTGGATAGACTCAACAATGGTTTATAGTGAACGTGAGGGATGAAGGCCTGAGACTCGCTGTGACTTGGATCTGGACGAGTGAAGCGAGAAAACTTGCCCTTGAAAGTAAATTGGCATTACAATGAGGCGGGGACAAAGCGTATGAAGGGCAAGCCATGAAAATCGCATATCCGTAAGTTTTATTCATTTCTATCAGAGCGTGTAACGTAATTTGAAGGAGGGCTTAAGGAGACCCCACTCCTCCACAGCCGCCATGCTTCCCTGAGGGTGTACCGTTTACCTACTTTAACCAGAATCCTCAATATGACAGCAAAGCCAAAACTATTCAATGGATCAGAAACCTAGATCTTGAAGGGTTTAATAATAAAAGATTGTAAGCAGCTCAAAAGAGACCCTCCACCATCTTGGCTAAACTAGTCAGAGAAAAAGACATTAAGAGCCAACATTAAGAGATGAAGATGAAAAGAATAAACAGAAATGGGTAAAACACAAACTGTTAGGACGGAAATATAAAAAGACCAAGAAAAGGATCATGTAGGAACACTTCAAATATTAATATCCTTTTCAGGTCTACTTCTTAACCAGGATCAGGCCTCTGGTCATTTATCCTGCAGTGTATGCCGATGATGATGGTGTTCATGTTATGCTTTGCTGTTTTCTCCATAATTGGAAATATTTTCCCATCCCGGAATTGGGACAGTGTGTACCCAGGTTGGGAACCACTACTCTAAAGAATGAGACTGCCAAAAATTATAGGTCATGCATATGAAAAAATGAATAATGTACAACATATTTAATAAATCGAACACACTTCAAACTAGTTTGCCTGTGAAATTGTTCTTAGATGAATATGAAAAATTTGGCAATGAAAATCAGTAGAAGTAAAACTTTTTATTGGCACACTTAGGAAATAAGATACCCACCTGTTTAAACACATTAAGCAAATGTATTCAGGAGCACATTCTCTACAAACTACAATTGTCTCATTTCAAGCCAGTGTATTTTTGAAACATATTATTGATAAGAATTTTCCTGATTCCTCAGATGGAATTATAATAAGCTTTCAGCAGGTGAATTTAACAGTTTTTTACTTAAATGATTTTTAACATTTCAGTATTGAAATGCTAAAATTAAATATTGGCAACCAATTCCCTTATCTTCATAAAACATCTCCACAATTTTATTTTATTTTATTTCTGGAAGTTATTATTAGAAGGATATGTCATAGTCATGTGATCCATATGGGTGATCTGGGCTGTCCGAGTGACGCCGCGTTGAAGGCTGAGTTGCCGACGTTTCGACCATCATGTCGTGGTCTTCCTCAGGGCTGGTATGATACTGATACCAGCCCTGAGGAAGACCACGACAGGATGGTCGAAACTCAGCCTTCGACGCGGCGTCACCCGGACAGCCCAGATCACCCACATGACTCTGGCTGCCGAAGCCTACGACTTAGTGTGTTCCATATGCCTTCAAATTTTTTTAAAGGGCAACAAACACTCTGACAGTTAGGGTTGGTAAAACTCATAGTAAATGCTTGTTATATAATAGTTATCCTCTTCATTAACACAGCCAAAGAGCAAAGTTCAACATTCTTTAGAGTAGGTTGGATGAATGTTAAAACTAGAGTCTGTATGTACATAAACACCACCAGAAAAATTGTGAAGACTATATGCTCTATTCCCCTATGGAAACAGCACAAAAGAATAACGCAAGAAAAACAAGGCAAAATTGTTACACTGGAAAACCAAGAATCAGATAAAGAATTCTCCAGCACTGTCTAATATGTATATTTTATTTTCAATATTCTTAAGAAATCATCCAAACCGATGATTCTCAATTCCTTCAAGGTTGACACTGAATTTCAATACTTACATTTGAGTCCAAAACAGACCATTATTGGCACTTTTTTTAACTCCACCCCTTGCCCGTTATGTATTTATGGATGTAAAATTAATAAATATGAACTATTTACACAACTTACCAAATTTTGGTAAAAGGGATTTGCCTGATCGGCTTCGAGTTCCCTCTATAAAAAATTCCAAGGCAGTATGGCTAAATTGTATCAACAAACTGACATACTCAGCAATAATAGCCTTGTATAAACTATCACCACCAAAAGTGCGGCGAATAAAAAATGCACAGCACTCTCGCAAGACTCTTCCCATCACCCACATGCTCTGAAAATCTGTAAATGAAAAATACCTCATATAGTAGTTATAGTAAGTCTATTTTAATGAAGAACCATATCATGCACCCAATAAGAGACCCAATACTTGTTAGAAAATATGATTAAACCACATACACCTCTAAGCTACTCTTAAAGAGAGAGAGAGAGAGAGAGAGGACTTCAAGGGCATCCACCTGGAAATTTGACACCTAGATCATTCTACATTCTAACACTACACCCCTATGGTGCAGCAAGTTAAAAAATGCAGACTCGAGTTGAATGAAAATAGAAATCTTTGCATTATCAGAACATTCAGACTGATGTTTGTGTGCGCTTACCAGTTGTGCTGTAGATTATAATTTAACATCTATGCACGGTTCCTACACATAGTCTGCACGACACTTCTAGATTTTTCATAATTTACACAGGCTATTTATAAATTCACATCAAATAATTTTTAAAAAAAGGTTATAATGCGTAGTAATCAATAGTGGCACTTCTAGATTTAGTTTTGAAACTTAATTTTTAATTTACAAAGAAGTACAAAACCATGAAATGGACTTTTCATCAGTTAATTTCCAGACCCCTTAAGAATGAAAAAAGGGTGACAAAATTGTACAATAATTAATATAGTTTGAAACCGACAGTACCATCATAACACATGAAACTTGGCGTAGGTAGCACAGAATTTCAGGGGAAAAAAACAAAATCCATACAAAATCAACCAAATATCTGTAAATTGATACATTATTAAATTAACAATCATCTCACTTATAAACTCTGGTAGGTTTATACTACATACACTAGGGATATTTGTTTCAGGGCGCAATTGTTCTATCTCAGTATTTTGAAAACATTGCGTGAAGACCCCTAACAATAAATTGTATTTCTTTCTTTTCCCACATTACATAACTATTATTTTACAAACCTAAAGTAAAAATTTCAGAGGGTACATATATATTATTTTGTAATAAAGACGGTAACAACAGAAACGTTGACAGTAGTAAAGCTGACAGCACTTAAGACACTTACCTTGTCCCGCAGCAATAACGGGTATCTCAATATCATAATAAAAACATAAAAAAGACATTAGTATGAAATCTGCATAACTTCTATGACTTGGAGCAAATATTACAGGATTAGATCCCATTTTGGCCTTGACCTACAAAGAAAACAGTTTAAGAACACGCACTGTTGCAAATTATTTAGAAGCCCACCAAAGTCAAACTCACTCTTTTAATGCTCTCTTCATTCACAATTATGCCTTTGTAATTTTTTTTCAGTATGTGGCACAGAGCTATACCAACCCAACGTATCACAGGCATATTTCTATGGTGGCCTAGATCTTCAAGGGATGATCGGACAGAACTTTGTAATTCGAGCATAGGAAGCCTATTCACTCGATTAAGCTGTAATGTACGTATGATTATTTAGAATATGCACAGCTCTTAATAGGTTTTTAAAGATAATTTCATATTTACCTTTTGCATGGTTAATTGAACTCTGACACTGCGTAGAATTAATGGAATTAAATCCTCAACAGTCAGTTTTATACCATTCTTATTAGGTAGCGATGGGTTCCAAGATTTCGACATGAAAGATACATAGTACATATTTCGCAATTCTTCTAATATATCATTTTTCTTGCTTAACGACATTGTGAATAACTGTAAACATAATGTAAATTAACATCGTATTAATAACACACGTCACAAAACGTAACACTTATTTAACTTTTAATGCCTGTATTACATAAGAAATGTATCAATCATAAAAGCACATTTCACGTCTGAACTTCAACATTTGAAAATTTTTAATATTCACGTGTCGGTTCTTTAAGTAAACATTTCAATCATAAATAAATATTTGTATCAAGCGCTACAATCGAATCTGAACAATCAGGTACATTTGCATTCCCCACAATTTTACGATCGATCGGATTGTAAAACATTGTAAATACTAGAACGACCAAGCATACACACAATTGTTAGTCATTATGTAAGAATGAATGTTTAATTAATCAGAAGCCGGCTTAGTAAAGTATCACAAACAAACAACATTATTACACATAAAATACTTTGCATTAAAACTACCTAATTCACGTAGTTCAAGTTCTGTTCAGAGAAACCGCCTGAGACAACAAATTTGTAATGCGAGCTCTCCAAAACTCTGCCACGCCTCCGACTGTACACGAAACTTGTGGAGAATGAAGTAATCACCGGCAATACCTCAGCCCGAGCCGCCCACAACCGCACTCCATGAAATCAGAATACGTACTGAATCGAAACGAACAATGTTCACCAATCAACGCAGCGAGCTGAACAATAGTAACCAATGGTCAATGACCAATACGAAACTGGGCGGCAAAGGAAGGGCGAAAAGAAAGACGAATTAGAGAATATAAAAAAGTTACGTTATCGCAGTAAATAATACAAATAATTTTATGAAATAATAGTAAATAAAAGCTACAGTGCTTACTTACAATGACAGTTATATACTAGAAGCATTTATTTGGGGAAATTAATTCATAGAAATTTAACTTTATTATTTGAAAACGGTGCACTTTCGTAATACAATTTTATATTTAGATAATCAAAATAATTTTGTTAATAAAATATTGACAATATAATTTAATGATTTGACCGTTTTATAAAATAGTAATTTCACATATGAACGTTTTAATGATAAATAAGTACTTACAATTAATTTTAAAAAAGGAGAACATGAATTGCATGTAATTCTAATTTAATTTACACGTTACACACAGTTTTAAATAAGCACGTCACACGCAGTTTTAACTGTTTTTGACGTTAATTTAAATAAATAAATAAATAAATAAATAAATAAATAAATAAATAAATAAATAAATAAATAAATAATGAATTAATTTTACTTTCTCGTACGAAGTACATAAAAAGTACGATCAAAGTAAGTACGAAGTACATAAAAAGTGTAATCGTGTGGCGGAAATCGGCAATTTTTCGACAGAAAGTCTCGTACGGTCGGCACCTAGTAATGAAATATCGGATACATCATATTCCTACATGAAGTGAATTACTTCGTCTAACATGTAGGTAATCAAGGTTTTGTGGGTCTTTGATACCGAAAAATCGATTGACGACATAAACCTCTATGTCTGACCTTTTCTTTCTTTTCATCCGTCCGTCTGTGGTCAACGCAAGCGCCTGGACAGTTTAGAAGAATTTCTCCAAAATTGACATTCCTCCAATGATTAAATAAACTCCAGGCCTTCTTGAGTTTCAAACGAAACTTTTTGAGTTTGGATAAATACTTGAGTTTGGATGGATACTGTGCACGTAGTCTCAACATTTTCAAAATTTTCTCAAAAATGGCCCCAACTTTCTCATTAAATTTGTTCTTTGAAAGCGTAAAGAAGACTTAAAAGAATTGCGTGAGGCCCATTTCACAAAGGTTAAAGTTATAAGTTACACGTTGCAAGTTACTAGTACTAATAATCATAAGTATTAGTAAGTTCTCTTTCACAAAGATGTTTCAACTCTTATGGATACTAGTGTCCATAAGTGAATTACCCACAATGCAATTCTATCCCCTGGTCCTTTGAGAAAATGCTGAGATGGGACCGTGTTTTGCTTCTGGACAGTAAATGTAAGTTCACTCTCTGCACTCAAAAATATGGCGCAATTGTACTCCCTCCACATACATCATATTTGAATCGTCAGACACGATTGTAAATATATATGTGACTCGATATTATATTGTGTAATGTATTACTACTACTACTACTACTACTATTATTATTATTATTATTATTATTATTATTATTATTATTATTATTATTCGAGATAAAATTTGGAATTTTTCGCGTTCCTTGGAATTGAGTCGTCTTTCTGCCTGTGTTTTCGTGTCTGTCTTGCGTCTTTGTCTGTTGGTTTTACGTGCTTATGTTTTGTCTCTGGTATTGTTTATGTTGGTATTGTTTGTTTTACCCTTTATTTTTTATGTCAATTCTTTTTTGTTACTTTCCGCTCTTCCTTTTTACTTCAATTTCAGACTTCTCTTTAGCGAGACTATGTCTCTCAGTGATGAAAAGTTTAGTTGTTTTAACAAAACTTTTTTATTTAATTTGTAGTATTTTTCGGTGTAATTATAAATCTGTTATTCTTACTCACTTACACATATATGCTTAAATTTTTTGTTTGAATAATGTTAAATTGAAATAAGTGTCGCGATATGGCTTTCCGGCCCTCGCGACACGCTGCCGTCGGCAAGTGACCAGTTGTCATTTGCCGACGCCAGCGTTCCGAGGCTATAAAATGGCGAGGACTTCGCACCTCGCCCCTCTTATTACACGTCCACCTGCCGGAGCCAGCCGTCGTAATGCCACCCGCTCCCAGGATGTAGGGTCCACTACGCGGGTAAGTCAATAAACTTATTTAAAATATACTCTCTTTTCTTCCTGCACGAATTTGTGGGGTCCTCCCTCTCCCCCTCAACTCGCAACAATGGTGTCAGGTGAGGTTTTTACGAACCCCAAATGATTATTTATAATTGATTCTAGCTCGCTGCATCTGATTTTTCACCTTTTTGAATTTTTTTTGTTTTATTATTATTTTTCTCTCTTTTTAAAATGCATCGCAGTAATTGCAGCTCAGTAATGGACGTAGATTATTTTAGCGGGCCTTATTTCAATCGTGTCGCCACGGCAGACGCATGCGTGCCACGGTTGGAGCAACGATGCTGGGTGCCCAAGACGAGGCTAATGGAAACGCAACTTTCCCGTCAGTTTCCTAGTTTTCAAGCCTCCCACCCTTTAAATGAAGCCACGAATTTGCCCGAGTTCAGACACCCGTCATATCGCACCCATCCTGCCACACAGCACCGCGCAGAATTTCCACCTCAGCACTTCCTGCCGGCGTCAGCATCTCCTTGGGGCAACGTGCCTAAGTCAAAAAACTGACTAGTGCGGGTAGGGAAGCACTACTACAATTACGGACAAAAGTAACAGACATAAATAATTACGTTACGCAATTGACTCCGGGTAATAAGAGACCTTTAGTTGAAAGAAACCATGCAGCACTTACGGACGTTGAAACCGGTCACTATGACGAGAAATACGGGCCCAACTTACAGCAATGTCTAGATCATAGTAGTGTACACATTAAGATAGAAAATGAAGTACAAAAGTTAGATCATAGTTACGAGAAGTATAACTCCAGTACACTAGGAACTGAGGAGCGCATCAGCGATAGACTAGATAAGGAATTACACTTAAGTTATATTAAGAAAGTGCACGATGCCAGTTCATTGGGAACTGAGCATCCAGTGTTAGAATATAATGTCCCCGGTGGGATACTAGATAAGGAATTAGATTTAAGTTATATTAAGATAGTGCATGATTCCAGTTCATTGGGAACTGAGCAGCCAGTGTTATAATATAATGTCCCCGGTGGGATACTAGATAAGAATTTAGATTTAAATAGTATTAAGAATACGTGCAATGCCAGTTCATTAGGAGCTGATATATATGATCTAGAATGTAAGGGCACCGCAGGAAAGTTACTAACAGACCGAAATTTAGAAGTCAGTTCCAGTGAAACGCAAGATGTTACGATCCCTCCTTATGTAGTAATCACAATCGAAGACGACCTCGTGGCCGATTTCTATCCGGCCATCATTAACCAACCGGACCACATCATTATAGTCATTGATCATGATGAGGACGAAGCTATCGTTTCTCCACTAAATTTAAAAGAGGCAAACCTACTGCAGCCACCTTCCATTCCCTCTGTAAACCAGGCATCGCCGGGAAAAATGTTTCTCGCTAAATTTCCTATTACCCCCGCGGACTGTTCCCCGACCGACAATATTCGACCAGACCACACAATTATATTAATTGACTTAGGCAACGATGATGACGCTATCTCTACCCCGCTCGAGTCGAACAAGGCCACCCCTTTGAAACCACCCTCCGCTCACGGTGGCATTCACGCTTCTCCAGGAAAACCAATATATAATAAGTTTCCCCATTCACATTTATTTGCCTTCTACTTTTTCCACCTACCTCGCCCACCCAACGTACAGCTTCCTCGCTTTCTCCCACCAATTGCACCATTTCAAACCCAAGCACCGTTAACAGGAGTTCCAAACCGTGTGCAAACTCCTTCATCAATTGGCCAACCATGCGAACTCTCAGAAAAACTGCTGACGTTGTTTGACTATGCAAGACTTTTATCTTTCACAGGACAACCAACCAATAATTTTCTTAAGTTACAGGCAGACACAAAGTATGTGCTATGTGTGGCGTCGCTTTGGTGCTGTCCAACGCCCTGGAGACTGTCGCTTTCCCGACCACTGGACTGCGCCGCTTATGGTGATCTCATCTCTGCTTTGCACACCTGCTGTCAACGCAAGAATTAAAATGGAATATTTTCTTTCTTTTTCCACCCAAATCGCCTTTATCATTAAAGAAGCCCTGTCCATAAGCCCTAATATTCCCCCACTTTTCTGTCATATTTATTTTCCCTTCCCATTTTGTGCTTTTACCTGGGTAGGGTACTTAATGAAATTTCTATTGCAAAATAAAATCACTGGCCTACTAAGAGGGACAGTTCTGCTTGCTTGCACGCGACGACGCGCCTGCCTCTGCTCTGGTTCAGCTCGCCGGGCCGGACAGCACTGTGGCTCGGTTCCGCTGAGGCAGCAATCGCCACGCACCGAGGCCGCACGAGGAGCGACACAACACCGTCAGCGCTTCTTTGCAGCGCAAGGCTCCTTCATTGCACCGTGGGCGCGCTCTAAGCGTACGAGCGGTTTAGAAATGCTCCACGCACTGTTCTTGTTTGCTTGTTGTTGTCTTTTTTTAACTTCCAGTATCGTTTGGTGTTCTCCTAATTGAGGAGCGCCCGTTCTTTAAGTCCCTTTGCGGTTTTTTTCTCTCCCTCATTTCCGCATTCTCTAACTCCTCCTACCTCCTCCTACTTGGTGCAGGTTTGTCCGCATCCAAGCACACTCGCTGCGGTCGGACAGGGGTTGGCAAAGGCAGACCTATGACGGCGAGGAGATGTTGATTGAATCGTATCTCCCACTAGCAGGCTGCAGTCAATGGCCCACGCGAATGCGATCCTTCTGTATTAGGAGCTCTACGCTTGATCCGTCCGACCGCGTTGGCGATCGCAGACCTATGGACGGTGAGGAAACGTTGGTAGAACCATCTTTCCCACTAGCAGGCTGCAGCAACAAGGCCACCAATCATCTCTCTGCTACGAAGAGTAGAGGGCCTGGTGCTGGACTAGTGGATTGCACTTTGGCAA